TTGCATGGACATGAGGAAGGCCCTGTCTTTCCTAAAGAAACATGGAGGATGAGGACTTGGGCATGTATTTAAAAGTAGAGGAAACTGTGTGTTCAGAAGGAGAAACTTAGGTTACATTAATGCTAAGAAGGTTACTGGTTTACTGATGAAAGATTACTGAGACCTCACTATGTGTCAGATATTTTTCATCCATGGCGTCAGGGGCTCCTAGCCCAGCAAGTGAGGATAAGTGCTGCAATTGACACCTGATGGAAGAGGCATCTGAACCTTTGGGAGAGGGGCCTTGGTCCTGGTTCTGCCTTCTTACAGGTTAGTGGATGGCTCACATGAGATGAGTGTGTGAGATGGTGCTCAGTCCCTGCATGGACCTGGGAAAGTGAAGGGTTTATTGACATCTTCCATTTCTTGTGTAAGGAACCAGAGAAGACAGATGAATGCCAAGGAAATTGTGGCTTCTACTTGCACCAGTAGGCTGCACCATGAAGACCATAGAACCCAGAGTTCTGGCACTGCCTCCTCTCTGCAGCGGCTCTAATCTTATTAAGGGCTTCACAGCCCCTTTTATTTGGGTGGGGGTTGGCTGGTGTGGCTCTCACTGCTGCTGAACTGCTTTTGGTATAGAGGGTAGTGGCCTTCCAACCCATCCCTTCTATCTACTAGATGAAGAATTGTGTCCTCCAAAATTATATGTTGAAGTCATTACTCCTGATATCCATAAATGTGACCTTATTTGAAAATAGGGTCTTTGCAGATGTAATCAGGCTGAGATAAGGTCCTTAAGGTGGGCTGTTGTCCAGTATGACAGGTGTACTTATGTGAAGAGGCAGAGACACACAGGAGGAAGACCATGTGACAACAGAGGCAAAGGCTCTGGGATTCAAGATGCAGCTGGGATTCAAGGCACGTTGAAAACTGTGAGCCACAGTGGGAGGCTGCAAGATGCAAGGAAGAATTCTATCTAGAATCTCCAAAGGAGCAGGGTCCTGGTCACACCTTGAGTTTGAACTTCTCTCCAGAACTGTGAGAAAATAACTTCTGCTGTTTTAATCCACCCAGTTTGTGTCATTTTGCTACAGCAACCCTGTGACACAATAGACTACCCTAAGTCTCCTTGGGCAGGCAGAGCTCAGCTCCTGAACTTCTCATCCTGCCCTGCAGAGATCATTCATTCTCATTCATTCATTTGTGTGCATGACTTTGCAGATTTCTTTAAAGAAGAATAAAATCCCATCCATGTTCCTAAGTTAATTTCAATTTGGGAGAATGAGAAATTCACATTAAGAGATGGGTTCAGTGAGATGGTGAATAGAATGGATCTCTGAGCCAGTCCTGAGCACAAGGTGAGAATTCAGTTTCATACGGTGTTATTGCAGATGACACCCACTGAGCAGCAGGTGCTTGGACAGCCTGGCTTGTTACAGTCTTAGTTTCTGCAGGCTCCACCCAGGGTTAGAAAGCATTCACTCTTCTCTCCAGTAGGTTTTGCTGAAATTTAGAGAGACATCCCCATCCCTCCCCCCAACTCCAGCACATACCCCTGTTTATTTGTGTCATGGCTCTTACTAGTCCCTAAAATGATCCTATTTATTTATTTGTCTATTTAGTGCAAACCTTTCAACTTTGGCACTGCTGACATTTTGGGGCCAGTTAATTCTTAGTGGTGGGGGCTGTCCTGTGAGTTTTAGGTTGTATGACAGCAGCCCTGGCATCTACCCACTAGATGCCAGTAGCACTCTTCCCAGACATGACAATAAAATATGTTTCTAGACATTGCCAAATGTCCCCTGGGGAAGAATTGCCCCTGGTTGAGAACCCTGATTTTGGAGTACCTCTTAACGCAGGGATGGTCTGTCTTGTTCTCTGTCATCTCCCCAGCACCTGGAATAAACAGTGTGCTGACACAGTGTCCTTGGGTAAATGGGATCGGGGGTTGTTTCGGGTTGGCTGGAGAGCTACTGCAGAATTTTACTTTCTCTTTTGTTGGAAGTCAGAGGAAAATGCCCTGTATCTGGTTGGAAAACACCCTGGGAGAGGTGGTTCCAAGGACCTTGCATGTGCGTGGGAAACTGAGCGTTAGCAAGCTTTACCCTAGCCAGGGTAGGTCATGGGTATTCTAGGAAGAGGGAGAAGTCCTGGATAAGGGGAGGGGTTGGGCTGGGGTTCGGGGTGTTGGTGAAATAGTGAGTGTTGGGGTGGGGTGAGGAGAAGCTCACGGAGGCTGAAGGGGCATCAGGGTGGAATCTTAAGGGCCTGCCCTGACCAGTGGCAAAGAGGCTTGAGCTCCGCTTGCAGATGTCTGATTAAGAACAGAGAGTCATGAAGTCATGAATATGCCTGATTGCTGTGTTGATTTGTGCTTCTTGCTGTCAGGTTGCTGCTTCTTGAGATGCTGTTACTCTGATAGCTCCCTCGTCTCTGCTTTTACTTTTACTCAGCAACTATCACTTCTGATCATTTTTACATTAATTGTACATAACATTGCTTTGCTTTAAATATATTATTTTAAAACATTTTGCTTTACAGTTCATCTCATGGCTGGAAACTCTGTAGACAGTGGTCATAAATCTCTCTTGAAAGAAAATGGAGGTTGTCTGTTTTAATTTAATATCAATTCCCTTGGAATTGCTTGGAAAAGAGATGGGGGCAGAAAAAGAAACTTTTCAAGCATTGGCAGTTGTCTATGTTGCTGATTTTGGACTGAACAGATTACTACCAAAATGTTTGTATCTGCGGTTCCCCATCTCCACCACAGCAAATTGAGTGTGGGAAGGCAGGCAATGTGGCCTCCCTTCCTAGAGCAAAGTATTTATCAGAACCCCCTGCTCACGCCCTAGGCTGAACTTGATGCCCGTGGGGACCGTGGAATTCCCTCTCTGTTAAAGCTGCCAGTGATGGGGGCCATGGCCGCCTCCTCTCAGCTTACTCTGACACGATGGGGCTTGCTGGCTGGCATCTGGCTACGTGGCTACAGGAGTGGCTGACAGCGTAGCAGGCAGTACTTCGTCTGCTCTCTCTCCTTGTTGCTCCACGGAGTCTCTGTTCTGGTCTATCCAATGTCCACTGGAAATGTTGTGCCATCAGTCCCCTGGGAATGTAGTTTTCTTTAGTTTTTCTGGGATCCTGTGGTTAAGGCCAGTGCAGCTTCTCCCTCTTCAACCATCTTGGATCTCCTCCATTAAAGCTATCAAAACTGATTTGGGATAGGCAAAGAGACCTTCCGTCCTCTAGTTCTGATATCAGCTCATCACTCCTCACTAGGACACTGGGAAGAAATTGTAGCCGTACAAGGTTTTTCTTCACTTTAAGTTCAATGGTATTTTTGTCTAATGCTATTCTTTCTGAGGTTGGGTGATATTTTAAAAATTATGGACGATCTTAAACCTACAAAAAAGAAACCAGAAATAATAGTATAACAAATTCCTATGTATCTATGATCTAGTTTCAGCAATTATCAACTCAGGGACAATTTTATATTATCTGTGCCTCCATCCACTTGGCACTTCTGGCTGGATTATATTGGAGCAGATCCCAGCCATCATAAAATGTACAATATAATTCATATGCATTTCTTCATGTATTTCATAGGTAAGTACTCTTTAAGTAAATAGATACTATTTCTATACCTAAATAATTAAAATTGTTATTTACAATAAAGAAATAATTGAGTCACTATTCACATTTTCCACTTATACTTTTTAAATAGCTTTTTTCTAACAGTAGTCAAATAATTTTCATACATTGCAAAGATTGGATGTGGCTCAAGTTTTTTTTAAAAAATCTTCTTATTTCCCCTCTGTTCATCTTTCTTCTTTGCAATTTATTTGTTTTAAAAAATTACTTATTTGAGCTGTAATCATTTCTATGCTCTGGATTTTGCTAACTGAATCCCTGTACCATTAACCTGCTCCTGTATTTCCTACATATTGACAGTTAGATCTTGAAGCTTGATAGATTCATGTTGGCGTTCTGGGCAAGAATACTATGATCTAGGGGCCGACACCGTGGCTCACTTGGTTAATCCTCCGCCTGTGGTGCTGGCATCCCATATGGGTGCCAGGTTCTACTCCCAGTTGCTCCTCTTCGAGTCCAGCTCTCTGCTGTGGCCCGGGAAGGCAGTGGAGGATGGCCCAGGACCTTGGGCTCCTGCACCCGCTTGGGAGACCAGGAAGAAGCACCTGGCTCCTGGCTTCAGATTGGTGCATTTCCAGCCATAGCAGCCATTTGGGGGGTGAACCAATGGAAGGAAGACCTTTCTCTCTCTCTCTCTCTCTCTCACTATCTATATCTCTACCTGTCAAATAAAAAAAAAAGAATACTATGATCTTTAGAAGGTGCAACATTTTCTCTCATGTCTAAAGGATTCTTTCTGTGATTTTAGCAGCCATTCATGATCACTCCTGGATCCATTATTTGATTAAGGTTTTTAAGATTTGAGTTTCTAATTTTGTCTTTCTTCATTTTTTAAAAGTTGGAACACTTCTGTAAAGAGAGATTTCCCTCCTTAATTCTTTGAATACCTTCAGATACATGTAGAAAAGGCAGAATCAAGGTTTGCCTAATTTTTCTTTTAATCACAAATTTTCAGGACTGCAAAAATCATAAATGAGATTTTCCTTCCTACTTTTCTTCCTTCATCACTCATTTATTCTCCTTCCTCACTCCCTTCTTTCTTTCCCTGCCTGCCCTCATCTCTTCAACTAATTTAACTTTTAATTTAATTATGTTTATAACAAAAGCAACTTAACTAATTAAAATATATTTGATAAGCATCAATAGAATTTGCTACTTTTAAATTTTAAAATGTTTGTTTCTATTTGAAGAAATATTTGTATTTATATACTTAACAATTTTTTAAATTTCAATGAATTTTTTAAAAATTCAGACTGTCCTTGAAATGAGCCTATGAAGATAAATAGAAAGCCACTGAATGAGGCTTCAAAGTAAGCCAATGTTCTCCTGATTAAAGAAAGAGAGATTCTGTTGGTACATGTTTTCTTATCTTTGTTCATTCTCCTTCCTACATGAAGGAATATGGATGTAATGGCTGGAGGGGTAGCAGTGATCATGACACGAAGATGATGAACTTTTGTGCATGTTCAGGTGGTGGAGTAGAAACTGCACTGGAGCCCAATTCCTTTATGTCACCCTTAAGAAACTGTTACATCTCAAGATTACTGTGATTACTGTACCCAACTTCTTCTTCTTCTTCTTCTTTTTTTTTTTTTTTGGACAGGCAGAGTTAGAGAGAGAGAGAGATACAGAGAGAAAGGTCTTCCTTCAACTTCTTATTAAACAAGAAAAATCCTAGTTTTTAAAGCCACTATTTCTTGGCACTTTTGGCCCTTACAACTGCATGTAATACATTTGTCCAAAGTTATATACATAATAAGTGGGGGATCTTGGTTTCAAACCAGGCTTATTAGTATCTAAATATTGTGCCTCTTACTAAAGAATGTGGAGAATCATGGACAAATATTACAGCTCAATTCTTCTGAACAGAGATCTCCCTTATTAACTCTTTAGTTGCCCTCTGATCCACTTTGTACCAAGCAGGCAGGATAAATGCTTGATTTGTAAGCCAGCTCCCCCTGTCCAAGGCCACGTGGTCCCAAATAACAGCCTGGGATTAGCACACATCACCGGCACCTCCTCTGGCAGGGAACGAAATGCCGCTGGCCCCACATAATGAGCTGATGAAATACACAAGCTTTTTCTTGCTCCTTGTCAAATGATTTCCAACCTTTCTGCACAAGAAGCCTCTTTTATTAACTCCTCGCAAAATACAACATGTTTTGAAAGATTTTGTCAGGCAAACTCTACTTAATAATAAATATTTGATTCACTTCCCCATTTGAATTTAATCAAATGCGCACATAACCTCCAATCCTAGTTTCTGCTCTGCATGACCAGTGTGAGCACGCTGAGGCTGTTGTAATTTGAGTAGAGAATGAGAATACTTTGGTTTGTCTATACAGATTTCAATTTTATTGGGATTTCAAGGATAATAGGAAAGTCCTGACTCCTCTGGTCTCTTTTGAAGACTGTGTGTCTGTGGTCTCTGGTGCCAGCCTAGGCTGTGGAGGGTGGTCCCGGTTCTAGAATGTATGGTCCACATTTCAGGAAGTCACGATCAAAGAGACTTTAGAAGGAGGATGGATTTGATTCTGTTGCAGCTTCTTCTTGGTGTGCTGCACACTGTTTCAGAGCGAGGCTGACGCTGTGATCACCTTGGTTGTCCTAGGCATACCTCCCACCTGAAGTTTCAGCTACACGTGGCCCTGAAAGCCGTGTCCACACAGGTAATCAGTCTTACTGCTTTGTTTCCCATCGGTTGTCCTGTAGCCTTTTCCTCTATCCCTTATCATGCTTGTCACATTCATGATAGTTGAGTTCTGTTTGGACAACCTCTTCTGAGCACTTGTCAGGAGCCAACATAGCCTTAGATGCCAGGCTATACTGATAACTAAGATCCCTTATTTATGATTGGCTTTCTGCTCTGGTTTCTGGTTGATAATCATTTGAAAACTGGACTTAAGCCCCAACAGAGTTTATGAGACATAAGATAGCTAATACTAGTCTCCTTCTACCTTCTACTGGAATTGAAGACCTCTTGTTTCACCTCTAGTTGCTGATGGGCTTCTGCTATGGCCCTGACAGAATCTTCACCCTCTCAACATTGTAGATCCTGCCTTTCTGCTGAGGGTATCCTTGCTGTTCCATCCTTCCTACCAGATTGAGTTTCTTTGTGTCCCTCTCCTTTGAACCCTCAGTCTCTCTAGTCTATAAATATTTAAAAGGCCAAGGTTTCATTCATGTCAGTTTCAGAGCCCCTGGAACACAGCATAGTGGTGGCAGATATTGATCATTACTGTTGGTTGATGAGTGCAGATGAGTGAATTTGAATTGAATCAAAGTGAGGAGAGGTGAGGTGTTAAGGGGGAGTCTGGCCATGATAGAGCTGAACTATGATGGACATTGAAGCCACTTGTGGTGATGCGGGATGCAAGGGAATCTGTGGGTGAGATATCGCTGTTGTCATGAGGCCATCCCAGGATGAGTAATAACTAAGTGGTGATTTGTGATAACAGTGGTGGAGACAGAGTCTGGTGTCGCTGGGGGACCTGAGCCAAAAAAGGAGAGGGGCTTTGATGTTAGGAGCATAATGCAATTGGCAGAGACACTGGGAGCCTGTGTGCTGACCACAGCTCTGTGGAACACAGAGGGGGATGCATTGAGAGTGGGCAGATTCCACTTGAAATGACTGCGAAGGAAATGGGATTAACAGAAAACAGCTCGTTCTCAGGTAAGGCAAGGCCGTTGTGGGGCAACACACGGTGTTGAGTAATAGCACTGCAATGGCTGCAGAGACTGTGCCTCAGCCACGCTAGACCCCAGAATCGCTGCCTGCCTCAGCTCCCTCCACCCTGAGTGGAGCCGCTGCTGGCTTTGGCTCTGCCCCACCCGCCCACATCCTCTCTGACAGTCCTCCTGCCCCCACCATAGCTTTGTCTTTGATAGCTGCCCCAGAATCCCGCTACTTCTCTCCTCTGGGGAAGGCAGACCTCAAAAGGCAGCTCTTGCAGCTCTCCACCTCTACTTATCTTCCCAGCCAGGACTTTAACTTAATTTACTTCCTGACATTTCACACTGATATGCAGGAACTCATCAGTGGAGTTCTAAGTGTACACATGACTCACGGGTTTTTTGAAGAATGTGTGGAGGAGGGAGGACAAAAAAATCAAGAAAAAATGAGACGAAGAGGATTTTAGTCATGTAAGTCATGAAAGAGCCTACCAGGCCTGCTTTGGTTTTGTTTGTTTTAGAAAATGACTGGAGGCCATGATGTTTGAACTTTTCCATTGTCGGATCTGCTGAGAATTCAAGCAGGGCTGACCCCTGGAGATTTCTCTCTTCAGCTCCTGAGATGGAAAGAATGAAAGTCTGAATCTTATTAACCAGATCCACAGGACTTGGACTGAAAGAAATATGAAAACACAATTTCACGTTCAAGCCTGGGAAGGAAAAATAACTTCAGAGTGAACCAGATGTACTTTGGAATTCCTTGAGCGGCCGCACAGCAAGACCTAGGCAGCATGTGAATGTGTGACTGAGAGTGTGTGTGAGCATGAGGGAGAGTGTGTGATTATGTGTGTGTGATTGTGTGCATGAGTGAGAGAGAGTGTGTGTGTGTGTGTGTATGTGTGAATTGTGTGTGAATGAGAGTGTGTGGTTGTGAGTGGTGTGTTTTAGTGGTGTTTGTGAGTGGGTGTGCGAGAGTGGTGTATGTATGTGTGTGATATGTGCATTCATGAGAGCATGTGTGAGTGTGTGAGAATGTGGGAGTGAGTGTACATGTGTGTGAGAGTGGTGTGTGTGATTCTATGCATATTTGTGAGAATGTGTGTGTGTGTGTGAGCGTTTGTAAAAGTGAGTTAAGCATAGAGATGTGTGACCTTTTGTGAGTGAATGCGTGTGTGCATGTGGTCATCTGGATGGAAAACTGGTTCTAAAATTTTCACAAGGTCCTTTTTTATTACCAAACTGACCAAAAAGTGTTAAATGACCTTTGAAGATGGAGCTTCCTTTTTACAGAATGGGTCATTCTGTGACATGTTTCCTCGCCTTGGTCCCTGCCAGGTCAGTGTCCCTTCCCCTAGCAATCCTCTCATTGTCAGGGTGTGCCAAGGACTCCCCTGTCCCCTCCACTCACAGTGCCTCTCCTCCTTTCCAGAACCCGCAGAGACCTAACTGCCTTCCTTAAGCTCAGGCTGTCTGTTGGTTAGGGCTGCCACCACAAAGTAGGGTAGTCTGGGCACCCTCCAGCCTGTCCTGGTGCCCCCCCCTCAGTGCTGGGGGCAGGAACCAAGCTTTGAGGAACAGGCCCGTGGGCAGAGGCCTCCCCTGGGCCCTAGCCCTTTCTGTCTCACTCTCTCCCCAGCCCTCCTCCAGGCTGCTGTATGATAAATGTGGGTATTTGTTACTTCCACTACAATTTAAGCCATTGAAAGTCTTACTGGGTAAGTCGGCACCGGCAGTTCGGCGGCTGGAAAGAACCCAGGTCTCTCTGAGTGCAGAGGGGCCCTCTGCTATTAATGGCCATGCCACGCCTGTCCGTTAGAGCAGGTCTGAGAGTCCGGCCTTGGGGGATCATCAGTGTCTGCCACCGCAGGTCATCGCCCATAAAAGAAAAAAAAAAAAGGCTCCTAGCTTGGGAGGCTGCCAGCTGAGATCCGTGTGCCAGCAGATTTGGGCTCTGGTGAGAGCCTCTTCATTACACGTGACTTCTTATGGTGCCTCATGGGTGGAAAGAGGTTGAGAGGGTTCTCTGGGGTGGCTCTCATAAGGGCACACATGCCACGTATGAGAGCCTCACCTAGCCACCTCCTGAAGGCTCCACTTCCTTATATTATCATCTTGCAGTTTAGGATTTCAGCATGAGTTTTTTGGCGGGGAGGGGGAGACAGGGGGTGGATACAAACACTTGCTTCATGACAGAGCTTTGCTCCTTTCTGGAACTTGAGAATTTCTAGGTCGCCTCTGGCTTCCTCAAGTGTTTTCCTCCATACTGCTTTTTCCTTAAACATGAACCAGCCAGGTCTGACCTTTAATTCACTACAGTGCCATTTATAAAATACTGTTGAAGGCTTGTGGCCTGAGTAAGGAATTACAGTGCAGGGGAATATTACCAAAATGGCTGCTTCTAGTGTCCTTAGCTCAACACCCTCCCCAGGGGTCCCCATGCTACTGTTTCCTTCTTAGCCTTGGCCAGTCTCCCAGCTGCCATGCCCAGTTTAACATCCTTTTGGGGAGTGGAGTGGATCAGTAGATTTCTCCTAACCTAGTCCCCCGCCCTTGGCTCCTTGGCTGTCTGGAGGCTGTGGGAGAGAACGACAGCTCACAGACATGACTGATTTATTGTTGTCTTGGGCCTCTCTGTTTCAGGAGAGGATCTTCCTTTATCTCTGTCTAATTAAAATGACTTGCGAGCATTTTCCTACAAGCAAAGGCTCTGTCTTCCCTCATCGAGCGATTCAAGCCTCCCCATCAGAAGCAGCAGAAGAATTCCCGGCAGCTTTCAAGTGCCAGGCACATGTTTCTGGCTGTCAAGCTTTCCAAATGTGTGCAGGCAGTTGCGGCTGGAGCACCCTCGATCACACCCACCACCCTCTCCCTCTCCGGTGTCTTTAGGGTTACTGATATTTCTCATGAGAGTGCTAAATTCTTAAAACTGAGGACCCCATGTGACTGCAATTACTAACTGAAAACTGTGGTTTCCACAAGGGTTCACTATCTGTGGAGTGGTTCTGTGAGTTTTGGCCAATGCATATTGTCACGTCTCCATCATTGCACATAGGATAGTTTCACTGCCTGTGTTACCCCTACCCTTGAACTCCTGGAAGCCTCTGAACTTTTTACTATCTATTTCATTTTGCCTTTTCCAGTATGCCATAAAGTCAATCACAAACTTTATAACTCACTTCTTGTACTTAAAAATTTGTGTTTGAGGGTCTTCTGAGTCTTTTCTTTTAATCATTGTGTAATATTCATTGTATAGATGCCACAAGTCCCTTTATCTACTCGCTGACTGGAAACAGTGTGGTTGCTTCCAGCTTTTGGCAGTTATGAATAAAGCTATCAACATTCATGCACATGTTTTTGAACAAACTTAAGTTTCCGGAGCATTTGAGAAAACACTTAGGAGCGTGACTGCTGAGTTGTGTGGTAAGAGTATCTTTAGTTTTGTAAGAAACTGGAAACGTGTCTTCCTATGTGATTGTACCATTTGTGTCTCTACCAGAAATGAGTTAGAGTTCCTGTTGTCCCACACCCTTGCTAGCATTTTGTGTTGTGCTGTTAGCATTTGAAATTTTAGCCATTTTCATAAGTATATTGAGTTGTCTTATATACTTCTGCTGATGCTCTCATTTATGACCTAATATACTTTTAAAATATATACTTACTTGCTATGTGAACATTTTCTTTGGTCAGATGTCTGTTTAGATCTTTTGTTTATTTTAAATTGGGTGGTTTATTTTCTTATTATCAAAGCTTAAAGGCTCTTTGTATATTTTGGCTATAAATCTTTCTTTATCAGATAGATGTTTTGTAGATTTTTTTTTCTTACCCTGTGGTTCATCATTTTATTTTCTTAAGAGTATTTTTTATAAAGCAGAAATTTATTTTTATTTTATTTGGGACACACACACACACGAGGGAGGGGGGAAAGAATTCCCATTAACTGATTGACTCCCCAAAATGCCTATAATTGCCAGGATTGGGGATACCCAAAGCTGGGGGCCAGGAACATAATCCAGTTTTCCCATGTGGGTAGTGGGATCCAAACCATTTAAACCATCTCTTGCTGTCTCCTGGGGTGACATAAGAAGAAGCTGGAATCAGAAGCAGAGCCAGGATTTTTATCCAGGCAATCTCATGTGAAATGTGGGCCTTTAAAGTGATTTTTTTTAAAAGAAGATTTTATTTATTTTTTTGACAGGCAGAGTTACAGACAGTGAGAGAGAGAAAGAGAGAGAGAGAGAGAGAGAGACATAGAGAAAGGTCTTACTTCTGTTGTTTCACTCCCCAAGTGGCCGCAACGGCTGCAGCTGCACTGATCTGAAGCCGGGAGCCAGGTGCTTCTCCTGGTCTCCCATGCGGGTGCAGGGCCCAAGCACTTAGGCCATCCTCCACTGCACTCCCGGGCCACAGCAGAGAGCTGGCCTGGAAGAGTTGCAACCGGGACTAGAACTGATGCCCATATGGGATGCCAGCGCCGCAGGTGAAGGATTAACCTAGTGTGCCATGGCGGCGGCCCCCAGATTTACTTCTATGGCTTCCTGAGCCAAACGAGAAAAATATACAGAAATTTAAATCTGTGGTTTGTGTGAGATATTATTTTTGTGATTGACCATAGCAGGGGCTCAGTATATTAATTTGTCAATTCTTACCTCAGAATGCTGGGAGCAAAACTAGATAAACAAATGAAACCAAGATGCCCAATAATTCCTAAGTGATCACTTTCCTAGGCAATCCCCTTGACAGATAACTTCTTGGTTTTTAATAGTCAAGATCTAATAATAACATGCCAGCAACTGTTTTAAGCCCTTTACAATATCTATATGATATATACAGATATATATCAACTTCCATAGGCTGTAGGTATCATTTTTTACAAAATTTTACAGATGAGAGATGATATGTCCCCAGTTAGGGTCTAATCTTGCTCTTAACTGCCTCTAAAGGTAATAGGAAATTTTTAAAAAAGACATGTTATCTCTATATTTATCTATAGAGGAAAGTAAAGAATTGCAAGTACAGCTGAGGCTGAGATGAGTAAACCTGGTCTTTGCAGAACCTTTAAGGTTTGTGTATCTGGGTTTTGTTACCGCCCCAGGGCTGGGACCCTCAAGGAGCTGGCCTTACTTCTCACTGCAGCAGTGCGTGATGCCTGTAACCCAGAGGCCCAGGATAGAGAAGATGAAGGTATGATAATAACCAGGTTGGCCACAGCCATGACAAAAGCATCAGTGAGACAGTTGTTGGACTGGTCCATGTTAAAGCGATGCCTTAACCACTAGGCCAAACTCTGCCCAAAGAAAGTTTTCAATGTTAATGAAGTCCAGTTTGTCAATTGGTTCTTTCATTGATTATACTGTTGCAGTTTTATCCAAGTCATCACCAGACTCCAGGTTTCTGTGTTCATCTGCTTTTTGTTGTTACAACTAAATACCGAGACAATGAAATTTGTAAAGAGAAAAGGTTTATTAAACTCAGAGTTTCAGAGGTTCAAGTACAAGATCAGGTGATCCCACTGGTTTGGAATCTGGAGGGAGCTGTGGATGGCAATGGCAGAACTCATGCCTAGGAAGGAGCCCATGCAGAGTCAGGAAGAAGAGTGGGAGATGTGGGGCCCAATTCAGTTCAGGCTTTTATACCCTCTTTGCAAGAATTGCCTTCCGAGGACATGCTCCACTTGACCTGGGGACCTCACTTTAGGCACATCTCCTAAGCACCATAAATGGACTGAGTTTCCATCCTTTTAGTACCATGAAATTTGATGTTTAAAGTTCTATGTAGATTTGGAGCCAAATAATATTCAAGTAGAGCAGTCACCTAGATTTTCTCCTATGCTAGTATTGTAGCATTGCATTTGACACCTAGATCTGTGATCAATTTTGAGTTAATTTCTGTAAAAGGCATGAGGCTTGTGAACCAGATAGGAGGGATCTTCAAAATGTTCATGGAAAATGAATATTATTAGGAAACTGTATATAGATTTCAATTTTGGCACCAAAATAAAATTATCTTTTCATTCCATTTCCCACGAACTTTTTGAAGTGCCCTTGCATTTATTTTTGCATGTACATGTCCAATTGTTCCAGCATCATCTATTGAAAAGATGACTTTTCACGAAACAACCTTTGCTCCTTGGTCAAAAATCAGTTGACTGATTTTTGGGTACATTTCTGGGATGTCTATCTTGTTCAATTAGTTTGCTTGCTAATTATTTTTCCAAAACTGTAGTAAGTTGTTTTCTGTAGCTTTATAATAAGTCTTGAAGATATGTACTGTCAGTCCTCACGTGTGGCTCTTCTTCAGTATTGTGTGTGGATTATTTTGTGATCCATAGTAACTTGTTGATATTTTCTGTACAATTGTGATGAATCTTTAGATCAAGTTGGGAAGAATAGATGCCTTAACAATACTGAGTCTCCCTGAAGGTGAAATCTTTCTTTATTTTGATCCTTGATTTCTTTTTTATTCTTTGTAGAGGGATTTTGTAGTTTTCCCTACATAGATCTTACACTTATTTTGTTAGACTCATACCTAAGTATTTAATTTTGAGGGGTGCGTGATAATGTAAATGATGTTATGTCTTTTACTTCAAAGTTTAGTGTTTGTTGATGTTCATTGTCAGGAAAAAGGCCTCCACACAAACTCAAACTCAAATTACCTTTGTGCATATAGTATTTCCCTGGAGATTGAGGCTAATTCTTTTCCAAAGCCTGATTGGAACAGTGCCATAAGGAGTTCATTTAGCCTGTGCTTGAATATTTTCTATGATAGGCAGCTCATTGTCTCTCAAAGCAACCGATTGTCTTTTGGGCAACTTTGCTTTTAAATGTTCTCTTGTTATCCTTGATTCTTTGTGGCTGAATTATAGCTTATTCTAAAACAGAAAAATAATTTTTTATCAAAATTAACAATTTAATCTGTTCTGTTTCATCTTCTTTGGATGGCTGTTAAGTTAGGATTCTCCCACAGGCTGGCACTGTGGCTCACTTGGTTAATCCTCTGCCTGCGGTGCCGGCATCCCATAAGGGCACCGGGTTCTACTCCCTGTTGATTCTCTTCCAGTCCAGCTCTCTGCTGTGGCCGGGGGAAGGCAGTGGATGATGGCTCAAGTGCTTGGGCCCCTGCACCTGCATGGGAGACCAGGAGGAAGCACCTGGCTCCTGGCTTTGGACTGGTGCAGCGCCAGCCGTAGCAGCCATTTGGGGGGGTGAACCAACGGAAAAGGAAGACCTTTCTGTCTCTCTCTCTCACTGCCTAACTCTGCCTGTCTGAAAAAAAAAAAAAAGATTCTCCCACCACTGGGGAAGGTGAGTACAGTGAGCTGAAAGGTTCTGCATACTGAGCTGCCAGGTTCTAGGGCACCAAATAGGAATTAAATGCCAGACTTCAGGCCTGAATTTGTCACTAGTTAGCTGAGTAACTTTGGATAAGCCTATCATTTTCCAATTTCTTGATATTTACTACTGGGAAAATCTGTACTCTTATGACACTGTGCTAACCCAAAATAAATATAGTGAATTTGAAAGCAATTTTAAAGCAAAATATCCAGAAGAAGCTTAATTTGAACTCACTGTCCCTACTTCATTGTCACCACTGAAATCTATAAATATTCAAATGTAAACAGGCATATAAACAAGGAGAGAAACAGAGATGGTATACCTACAGTAAACCCTAGGAGGACCTGATTTCCCAGCTTCAAGTTTTACAGATGAAGATGATTAAAACATAATCCAGGCCAGCGCCGTGGCTCACTAGGCTAATCCTCCGCCTTGCGGTGCCAGCACACTGGGTTTTAGTCCCGGTCGGGGCACCGGATTCTGTCACGGTTGCCCCTCTTCCAGGCCAGCTCTCTGCTGTGGCCAGGGAGTGCAGTGGAGGATGGCCCAAGTCCTTGGGCCCTGCACTCCATAGGAGACCAGGAGAAGCACCTGGCTCCTGCCATCGGATCAGCGCCGTGCGCCGGCCGCAGTGCGCCGGCCACGGTGGCCATTGGAGGGTGAACCAACGGCAAAAAGGAAGACCTTTCTCTCTCTCTCTCTCTCTCTCTCTCTCACTGTCCACTCTGCCTGTCAAAAAATAAAAATAAAAAAATAAATAAATAAACCACAGCAGCATTCACTCCCCAAGAAAAACAGCCAGCTGCTCATTTCTGAGAGAGGTGAAGTATTTTAGGCTCAAGAAAGCCCAAAATGAGCAAATGGCCTCACCTTGTAATTAATTTCTAGTGATCAAAAGAACAAAGCTCCATTTAGATGGCCAAAGAAGGATGTGAACTCATGATGATGGACCTGATGACTGACAGTAATGCTTTGCAGAAACTGGAATTCAGGGGCCCGGGCTGTGGTGCAGTAAGTTAATCCTCTGCCTGTGGTGCTGGCAGCCCATATGGGCACTGCTTCTAGTCTCAGCTGCTCCTCTTTTGATCCAGCTCTCTGCTATGGCCTGGGAAAGCACTAGAAGGAAGCCCAAGCACCTGGGCCCCTACACCCATATGGGAGAAGCTCCTGGCACCTGGCTTTGGATAGGCCCAGCTCTGGCCATTGTGGCTATTTGGGGAGTGAACCAGTGGATGGAAAACCTCTCTGTCTCACTTTCCCTTTCCCTGTCTGTAACTCTACCTTTCAAATAAATAAAATAATAATAATAAAAAAAAACCCTGTAATTCAAGCATCCTCCTAAAA